ATCATTACAAAATGAACAAATCTGAGAGAGGTCGACATGTAGTACCTATATATGTAATATCAAAGCAATTGGACTTGCGGTTTTCAACAAGAAGTCGAAAATATCACTTTTTACCAAAAATGACAAAAATATTCACCAAAATTAGAGAATTAAAGATATCATTACAAAATGAACAAATCTGAGAGAGGTCCACATGTAGTACCTATATATGTAATATCAAAGCAATTGCACTTGCGATTTTCAACAAGAAGTCGAAAATATCACTTTTTACTAAAAATGACAAAAATATTCACCAAAATTAGAGAATTGAAGATATCATCATGAAATGAACAAATCTGAGAGAGGTCTACCCAAGGTACATATACACCAAGTATCAAAGCATTCAGGCTTGTAGTTTTCAAGAAGAAGTCGAACAAGTAAAACATTGACACGGACGACGGAGACGGACGACGACGACGGACAATCACTCATATGATAAGCTCCGCTCGACAAAGTCGACAGCGGAGCTAAAAAAAAAAAAAGGTTTTGCTTCTCGGCGCCACTTATGTCAGTTTGAAACCTTTGCCTGAGAAATTGGGTCACATACTGAGATACAACCTTTAATGCATGCAATCAAAAGCATTATTTAAGTTAAACAAAAACATACATGTTTATCTTGTTGTTGTGGTTTTGAATAATGTTTAAATAAGCAAAAAAATAACAAGTTAAAATGGCATCACATCTTTGTTGAATTTTTCCTAGGACTAGAAGCAAAACAATTTTTTTTTTCAGATTAACTGAGAGAATGTTTGATTGAATGTGTAAACAAAAATGAACATGGTTAACACTTTAAGCAAAAGCATAAAAAAAAGCCAAACAGGTGCTGTGGAATACATTTTTCTACAGAGTTATCAATATGTCAAAAATTATAAAAATCAAATGTATTCTTAGGTATATTCTGATTGTGTTCATAATATTATTATTATTTCTTTTTGCTTACAATTTCAACTTACTTGCAAATGGTCTGGAAGAATCTTGTGATGTGAAATCTGCATTGTCCAGAGATGTAAATGCAATGAGTGTTTTCTCTTGGTTAATAGAACATCCCACAATACAGACTTTCTGTTCATGAATGAATATAACCTGAAATAAGATAATAATATAAAGTTAAACATATGATATCCCAGGGCTTGACCTTCACAGTTGAGAGGGCATCCATTTTCAAGGCACAAATTTATAAAATGGCATTAGCATATAGAAATAACATGGAGAATATCAAAGGGCATCAAGGCAAACTCATTGGACATCAAGAATTTGTTTTGATGTCTCCGTAAATTTCAAGCTCTGAAAGAAGACCCTGTATGTAAAAGGACAACCTCTTACCTGCCTGATGAACACAGTGTTCCTGTCTCTATACGATGCTTGTATAAAACACTAGTACTACTGTGAGTTGAACATGTTTTTACACTAAACACTTTTATAAACTACCTTTATTCCTGAAGGATTATATCAGTCACTTTGTTATTTACAATATACTGGACATGACATAACACTTTGATGACAGATCCAAAATCATAAACAAGACAATTTTTCTTAATAACGATGTGTCTTGTATCAAATAGGTTAAAAATTAAACAAAATAAAAATACCCTCCAATTTGCCTCTAGAATGAGTACATTGTTGTGTTAATGTCAAATTTAATGCAAATCAGACAAACCTATGAAATGGAACATCATTTACTGTGATTACATCACTAATCATCACTGTCATGTTACTTACTGAGTTTTCCTTTGTGGTTTGGTCATAAAGACCAATGTATGTCACCTCCTGATTATCTCCCGTTTTATCAAACGGTGGTGTGCCCAACCAGGTGTAGAGTATCTCACCATTGCGCTCCTGTCCAATGATTGACAACGTGAGATCATCTTTTGCAGCATCTGTGAACAAGCAGAATATAGAGAGAGTATTGCAAGGATACTAATAATGACTAAAATTATTTAATCAAGCAAGGTAATCCACAAATCATAAATGTACATGGTATCTCAGATCAACTATACGCTTGTCAGGGCGAGATGCAAATCATAGGTGTGTTTGTTAATTAAGTTGAATTGTCTAGTTAGACATCAAAATGTTTTCTATAATTATTATTCCATTTGCTGTATTATTTCTGTGCAGCAATAGCTTTGATGTTTAGTTTAGATTATTCGTATTCCTATTATATTATATTTGACCTATGACGTTATTACCGTAATCAGTGATTCGTTTAGAACCAACCTATCACAACTTGAGTTTTGTGTCATGTGACACTTGAGAACCTCGCACCATTATTATTATTATTATTTTTGTTGTTGTTTCAAGCAGATATTGATGTTTCCTGTTTCATAGTTCAATAAATTTCAATCCTGACATGAAACTTTCCGACTTCGCTAATAGTATACAGTGGCTATACTCCGAGCCAAATCACAGCCACAATGCTGTTACACTTTTGCCAACCAGCAAGCAAACGTTCGATAACAAATGTCAATTTCTGATCAGCGCACAAGTTTTTTGGGGAACCTAGACACGAGTCATCAAGCTTTTGTTTTTCCACTAATAGCGCAAACTGAACATATTCCACGACTGGACTGTTCTGTCGCACTCTTAGTAGTTATTGAATAGTTTGAGTTTAATGATAAAAATGCTAATTGGTAGAAGTTAAAAAGTAGCTTTTGATCTGACCTCTTCCACACAAACTATAACACATATGTAACACGATACATAGAATCTTTTGTACAAGTGTCATTCTATACTTTCCTGTTTTGGAAATGTCTCATTCCCAGGTTCCATAACATTACTGCATATACAGGATCATGAATAAATAATAACAATTATTATGAATATGCCTCAGAATAGACCTGTTGCAGTAATTTCATGTCAGACCAAGATTTAAAAAAAAGAAAAATTGACATGGCTGAGCCAGTCTATAAAAATCATTGAGAGTGAATTACAAAAGACTAAAATTATTTTTAAATTAGCATAGTCATGCACATAGTTGAATAATTGTGACTGACATCACTTTTTTTGCCTTTTGATGAATGGTGTACTGGACAAATACGGTAATGGTAGCAAACTATCTTAAGGTAGCAAAAGGGTTTGGTGACGTTTTTGAATAAAGCATTCTCTGTTTGTTGTCTCATTCAGAACTGTAATTTAGGTATAATTTAAGTATAGAGGGATAAGTTCCCACAATCTGGACAGTCATTGTTTACATAATTACCACATGACCAAAAAAATGGTGAACCATGTAGAAATAACTAAGTCCACGATGGGTGTAATTTGCCCAAGGCATTGTTCATAATCAAGTCCAATGAAATGTGTCTCTGGTAATCAAAAGACCTATTCTTCCGATTTCTACACAGGTTTCTTTTTTTGTCCCCAAATTATTTCATACTTGACACCTTTAACAGACTATTATTCTGTAACAAAGCATTTTCTTAAAAAACCCAGACATATTTCGCACCATCATTATCTTTTGAACGATAACTGTGAGTTTGAATGTCCTACTCTGAACGCACCCAATTTGACGAAGGTCCCAATGAGTCATACTCAATCTAAACTTTAACTCAAGAAAAACACGAAAAACGGTTTTGGATAATAAAACACTGCAAATTTGCTGCATTATTATAAACATACACTAAGAATGGCCAAACTTATTAACCACTGATATAATAGAACTCGACATTTAGCGTGTCAGATAATGGATAATTTCAAGCATGAGTGTGAAAATTGCAGAAAACAACTGACATTTTGAGTCCCATACTGCTGGATAATATATAAAGAAACATGTCATTGTCAAATGCCTTGTGTAATGGCCACTCAGCTGTTTTTTTACATTAAAAATCAATTGCAATGATTATAAGAGCTATACACTCTTTAGTTACTGTAAAATGACCAATTTACACTGGGTTAAAATTTTGATGATTTACCATTTCATGCATATTCAGTGGGTTTTAGATAATGTGTTTCATGCTCAATTTTATATAATAATAACTTTATTACACTACTAAAAACTTTCAGAGGGTTTTTGTATGGTAAGGAACATAAATACAAAGAAATAAAAAACATACAATACATACGAGATAAAAATAAAATGTTAGTAAAATAAAAGAAAAAATAAATTAATTACTTTCTGTGGTTTTAAAAATTGTGCTCTTTAAGTATTTTGCTAAGGCTATATTATTCTCCATAATCTTTTTAAATATGGAATTCACATCCATTGTGTAAATATTTATTGCACACTCATCAAACAGTTTTTTTCTTTGTTCTATATAGCCAGTACAAAATAGCAGGAAATGTTTTTCATCTCCTAATGCTTTAGTGTTACATTTATTACAGTGTCTATTTTCTAATTCTATTTTGGGCTTTGTTCTTCTACCTAATTCTATTTCTAAGTTGTGGTCACTCAGACGGAATTTTGAAAGCATTTTCCTGAGGCTGAAATTTGAAATGTTTTGCAAATAATTTTCCATATTATAACTTGGAATATATTTTATATTATATTATATATATATATATATTCACTAGTTTTTAATTTTCCAGTCAGCGAAATAAGCTAAATTAAAACCAAGTGAATAATTAATCCTTTTACAGTATATAATATAATATAATATGAACTACCATCCCTACAATCAAGATTACTCGCCTCTGCAGATGGTTGTTTATTTTTTACCAAATTTTGACAAAACACAGTCCCCGTTTGATACGTCCATCTCAATGTTTAGTTCAAGTCACATACAGACATGCCTATCATGCTCAATGAATCATCTGTGTGCCAAAATACTAGTAGCCCTGAGTACAGTCCTGTAGGTTGGCCTTCTTCCGCTGATCATTCGGCGGGGGCCGAATTTTATACAATGCATAAATAAGTGAAATATAAAGTTCTGAGTAATATAGTGTAATTGAAAAAAAAAAAAAAAAGTGTAAAAAAGTGTAAAATGTCGTCTGGGTGACTCTGGGGGGCCCAACCACGCCGCCAACGGTAGTAATCAGTCGTGCTTAGAAGACGATATTACAAATAAAAACAATGTAGAAAACGGAGAAAACAAACAGGTCAACGGTATTCAGGCTTGATCCCAGATGATGTCTATGATTTCAAGACATTATGTACATTATTGTACTCGGACACAAACATAACATGAGTTTGTAGTGCACTGTCGTGTAACGTTGTCTCGTCTCGTCTACGAACCTTGCTTGTCGGTGTTTAGAGGAGACAGTCCCTTCTGCGCCCTCACAAAAGACTTAATATCAGATTCAGCATCGAAACAGCAAACAAAATCAAGCATAACTAGCAAGTTACATCACGTAAATCCCCAAACTATTCGCGTACAAATACGGAGGAGGTCAAATCATGTAGGCGGATGACCCGGAAGTGATCCTAAAAATCTAACAAAAATAGTTGAATCCACACTTAATTCACCAAACATAAGGTCAAGTTAAGTTTATCATAATCAGTATTATCCATAACTACATTGATAAGAACTGTAACATTAATAACTGTTCCGAAAGCGAAGTTTGTTTTCTTTTCACTGACGTCACTGGGGTCATGTCGGTGATCACGTGACTACAACCACTCAACGAAGTAGGCTCTCCGATGATGACTTGATGTCAATGGACTTAAGTTATTTTATGAATTTCGTGAGCACGTTTCAGATCTGACTGTAATCCAACGTAAGAAATTATTTAAAGGTATGATATTATGGAATGACAAACTAAATAACATCTATGATCAGTGTCGTGCACATGTTTTGTTTTATTTCATATCCGGTTTCCCTTATATAGGATATGTATCACGATGATATAACAATCTCTCTCTCATCCATGTAATGTCACAATAACGTTTTTTTTAACACATTCTCGAAAATTTCAGATGTCCGCATTCACATCTTGCGTGTGTGTGAAGAACAACAGAACATTACATAACAATGCTAATGGGACGGTCGACTTTTTTACAAGTCTTTTTGTTTTTTTAGAAAATGTAAAAAAAAAAATATGAAATTGACAAAAATTTCCCCAAAATAGCCAAAATGAGAAATAATGTGATGATCACGAAAAACAAATATTTTGTAACTCTGATATATGCCCACATCTACAAAGGCTTGGTTTCTCACCAGTGACGGTAATTCTCATAACCTGATACTAGTAAGGCTAATCAGAATAGTTGAATAATATTCAGATTTTTTTTGACAAAAACTATTATTTAGCATACGATTGATGAGTAGACCAGTGTTTTCTTCAGGACGCATGATTAAGGCTGTGTTTTATCATGACTTTTATTGTTCAACATTTTGTGAAGTCATAAGGTGACTGTATCATGGAGTTAGCATTGGAAAGATTATGCTACACAGGACTCAGTTCACTATCAGCGGAGGGAGCCATTGCCCGGTTCGCACAAAAGTGTGGTATGTTGTGTGTTCGATCGTGCCGTGCAGCAGAGCATGCATCGTGTTTTGTACGACTGTTCTTATGAATTGCAGCTCAAGTTGTTTTTGCGCGTGTTCTGTTCTCCATTTTTGCAAACACTGCTAAAGCTCTTATGTTGGCCATTTTCATCTTTTTTTTTTAGTTCTCTTTCCTAATTTTGTGATTTCATCATATTTTATTGAGTATGAAGACAGCGTGATGTTCAATTCATGTACAATCAATGTATGATTCCTGTACAATTATACGTATGATTGATACTCCCATTGAAATACCTATCATTCACATGAATGTTGATATATAGAAATTTCAGCCAATTTAACAATATTTTTGTGCAGGAAAATAGGAATCAATTTAGTATTTTCCATGTAAATTTACTACGTTCATTTACCCACCATTAGAGTCTGGTCAGTCAAAATGACATCCAAGACGAGAAAATGGTTTGGTTCGAATGTAAATATGTGCATCAAATGAGGTGCATTTGTAAAGTCTTTTTACACCCACCCGACAACCAACTTCTATGCAATACTACTGTTCGATTATCAATTTGTATTTAATGGTGAATGTAGTCTGACGCCATGGCCAATATTTATCAATTAAGTTTCAGTGGGAGGTGGGGGTGGCAGTTGGTTGGAAAAAAACTAAAGGAATTAAGTTTTTTATCCGACATCGATCTTTTGACATCGTCCCTAAACATCCGTGTTTCAAAGATTTTATTTATTTGTCAGCACTGAGTGGTGATAATTTGAGACTGTGTTTTTTTTACGTATGATTCATGTTCTTTTATAAACATATTTATGCGTTTCTCTTGTGTTTCTATGGCTATTTTATACTTGTTTGAACCCACGTGACTGTGAGCAAGATCTGGGACTATTTATAACCATGATTTTCTTCAAAAGAAATATGTTGATCATCATCTATAAACATTTGTGTAAATTATACAATGTAGGTATTTCAATTGTGCATGAATCGTACATCAATTGTTTGTCAATCATACATCAATGATACGTGAATCAAACCCTACACTGATCTCGTCAAACGTTAAATCATACCTTGTAAATATGTCCAACTTTTAAACTATTTCTGCTATAAAAAACTGGTGTTTCAAATATTGTTAATCATCCTGTATTAGCAAGAAATAAATTTGTATATATCCACCTCATTTTATTAAGTACTGGTTCCCTAGGGACGATCCATTCTATAAATATTATTATCTGATAATGTATGATTTTGATGAATAATTTCAATGTTACCTAATCACATGATGTATACATGTATACTATATTAAAAATTGTCAAGGTCAAATATAAGAACAAGTTTGAGCTATATTATTTAACTGTGCTTTTGGTTTTCAATCAACTATATCAATCTATAGGGTATGATCCAGTGTGCTACTACTAGCCAATTGTGAATAGTGTGTTCATGTACCAATCAGTCCAAGAAACATGTCATCCAATATTTCACCTAAAACATTGGTGAGGAAAATACCATATGGTGTACTACGCCATTTGACTTCGGTGTTGGATATTCCAAGCCCTTTGAACCGAAATTGGGAAGGTCTTGCGGCAATTATACCCAAGCGATCCGGCAGCAGTGAAATGAAATACAGACAGATTGATATACAGTGAGTGTAAATGTTATCTTTTTTCTTGTCTTTGGAAAATTTAGTGCATCTGAATGATATGTACACCATTTGCATGTCATTTTGGTATTATTACAAATGTTTAACCGGGGCGACGGTCGATACGTCCCAAATCACATTCGTCCCACAAGTTGACTCTTCCCTCAACACAATTCGTTCCAAGTCGATTCGTCCCACAAGTTGATTCATGCCAAAGTCAATTCGTCCCACAAGTCGATTCGTCCCAAAGTCGATTCGTCAGATTTTTATTAATTAATAAATACAAATACACCGTGCACGCAATTTAAAGTTACTAGTATTAGTTAATACATACAAATATGACGTACACTCAACGTAGAGTTATTAATTAGTATTTGTTAATAAATGCAAATCCATCTTACACACAACATAGAGTACGTAGAGTTATTAGTTAATACGGTACATACAAATAATGTAATTTTGTAATTTGTATGCACTTTTCATCTTTTACTGTTAATCACTTTTGAGCAAGTAATTCTGTTACCGGTAATCACAAATTCTCTTAACTACAAAAAATCAAACCGCAGCACCCCATAGTATAATTATTATTGATGCATTGAAATTTATTTTCGTTATTAGCGGCAGCTGTTAGCCTGGGCACCTATATACATACTCTTTCATTACAATATACAAATAAGTATGGTGGTGCTGGGTTGTCATAGTTCATGGTATATTGCAAGCGTATCAGTAACTACTGGTGGTATATACGGTTTGCCGAACCTGCAATGTCAAACCGTCAAGACATAGCTTATACCGCACGTCGAAGTCAACCTCTTGCACACAAACATAGAAATTGACATCACCCTGCCCAAGATTGTAATGCTGACCAAAAAATGTGAAATGGGACAAATGTGAATTGGGACTAATCGACTTGTGGGACGAATGTTTTGGAACAAATGTGAATTAGGTTGAATTGACTGTGAATCGTTAAACCATATTCTAATTAAAATGTGTTATTCAGCAAATTCTTATAGCTTTAAATGCTAAACTCAACATTTTTACAAAAATTTTAAGACCAAAATGGGAAAGTATGTCTTTATGTTCTAAGATTAACAAAGTAATTAGAATATACATTAAAGAGTAGTACATGTAAATGATTTTACTTTTTATTGAATAGTTAGTTGTTTGCAGTTTTAACAGTCCCATTGAGAATGCTGTATTAATGATTTGTTATTGAATTGAGAGTGAAGTTGTTACTTGGGTCGAATGGTTTTAATATTTGTCGGCATACGCTGTGTACACGTGGATTACATTATGCATATTCGCATTTTTTTTTTAAGGACGTTTGCATTGGAGCATGCAAAACCTAATGGTAGTCCCACGTTACAGCTCTTGTCAGACTGGGGAACTCAGAATGCCACTTGTCAGGAGCTTGTTGAGTTGCTGCTGCAGTTAGATCTGATAGCGGCTGCAGAAATATTATTACCAGGTAGGTTTCTTACAAATTGTATTGCAGCTATCTGATTATATTCTGAAACAGGGATCTACCGGGGTATTCATCTTTAATTTTGGTCACCAATGTACATTCATCTATCAAGGATGTAGTAGACTTAACAGAGATGTTATAATTAGGCTTGATATTTTCATATAAGAATTGTAAACTATATATTTTATTAAAGTGCTTATTTCACACTTCCTAAAATTCTGGGTTATTTCGGATACAATTTTAATGGTAGTCACATGACTAGTAAATAAAAAAAGTTGTTATATTAAAAAAAATACCGGTAGTACTGCATGAAACTAGAACTAGTTAGATGAGTAGCAAACATTGTAATGTTAACCATAGAGCATCCCATCCAATCATGTGACATTATTTTTGCCCAGCGAGTTGCGTTAATTTCGTGAGACTAGCAACATCTATTAATATGATAAATACGCTCTCACACATTTGTTTCACGCTTTTGATAGAACAGCCTATGCAAAATTCAAGCGATACCCAGGGAACACTGTCGTTTTCATTTGGCAGAAACGGCAAATAACTTTTCCACTGAACAAACTGACCAATATTTTCATCGTTTGAGAAAAATTTTGCAAGCGGGTGAAGGGTATACTTCTATTTTATAGATTGTGTGGTTCAAGTTACAAAGCACTAACAAGACATGTTCACCTGAATAGTGTTGTACAGTTACGAAAGATACATAATATATTGCGCATACAAAAGTTGTTTATTGACTTGAACATAAGTGAGAGATGCAAATACTTCCTTAGTAACCGGGAACCGCACGACTGAGTTCAATGTTTCAGCTACTGCAAGATTTAATGTAGGCCAGCTGTGGTCAGTTTGAAAATAAAATAAAATAAAGATAGAAAACAGCTTGGTCTGACAGAGCCTGTGCTTCGCTGTTCGGTCGTGTGGTACTCGGGACTGGCATAACGATTATTCAATTGTATTTATATCTCAGTGCCTTTAATACTGGATATTACAATTTAATTGTGAGAAATAATTTATCATTTTGGCTACTGTGTGTAAACAAAAAGTAACTTGCCATACCAAAAGGCGGCCTGTTAAAAATAACCCTGTCTAGTATACAGGAAGTTAACATCGACCGGTTGCTCTGTGCAATGCCTATCATTACAGCTTGAGCACCATGATCGCCAAAACAGTTTGCTATTTAAAATATCAAGATCGATCAGTCGCAGCGATCCATCTATGTCAGCCATTTCATCATCGTCACTTCCGTGAGTACCATGTGACGATAATTTTTTTTCTGATGCTCTTCTTGGAGCTTCTTCAGGATCTTCACTGTCTGGGCTACATGCACTTGGTGGTAGATAAACTTTGCATCGTCACTGAGTGGTGATAATTTGAGACTGTATTTTTTTTTACATATGATTCGTGTTCTTTTAAACATATTTATGCATTTCTCTTGTGTTTCCATGGCTATTTTATACTTCCTTTTCTTCATTTCTAATAATAATTCTGATAATAATTGATGATCACAAAGGCAGACAGGGCCTACTTATGCAAATTAGGTCAATATTTATTGTTTGCACTCAAAGCCGATTATCCAGAAAACAAAGTGAGCGGTCTGCTGTTATAAACATATATCCAAACCTTTTTTAAAGTTTTCTTTCCTAGCTTGCCTGTATCCTGCCCATTTTGGAAAACTTGAGTTAACTTTAAATATATTTCCTTCCTTATCTACCCTCTATTCCCTAATTTTAGTCAATATTTCTGTTAATTTTGGTAAAATCTGCTATTTTCTTATTGAAAACAACTTGCCCAATTGCCTTGATATTTTATATCTAGGTGCTTTGGATTGAAATCTCAGATTTGTTGATCTTGATAACGTTAATTTTAGTGAATATTTTTTCATTTTTGGTATTTTCTGTCTTCTTTTTGAAAACCGCCTACCCAATTGTTCTGATATTTTATTTGAAAAGTACCTTAGATGGATCGCTGTCAGATTCATTTGATTCCTTTCTCTATTGGATTAATTAAGTCATTTAGTGTTGATAACTAAATTTTTCTCATTCTAGTGAATACCATTATTATTGTTATCTTCAGCTAGACTGATTGATTTCATATTTCTAAATGTATCGTTGACATTCTCTTCAAATTATACATGTTAAGATACATGTCCATGATAATTAGTTTCACAACCGAACAAAGGTTGACTGACTGCCTGCAATCTTGCTTTTTGACCATACTACTATTTCTCTGTACATGAGCCTGGATAACAGGAATTCAGTTTAGATAGACAAAATGCATGAATAGCATATGCTGTTTAATTTCTGACCATATATTATGATTTCGGAAGAGTAATTTAATGCATCTACTTTCTTTTGATATTTGAACAGTCAATTATTCAATCTCAATTACTAACTATGCTTTTTATTATTTTTGGCATGAATAACATTTTCCCAATGACTTGTTAAATCTAGGTTCTCAAGAGGCAAGGTTGTAATAGTTATGTATTAGTTATGCTCCCTCACTGCTCTTAGCTTTTGAAAATACTTGCTCTTTGCTCTATCTTTTGTTAACTCTGCCTCTGCCTCACTTCTCTAGCTTTTTGGTAACTCTACTTCACTGCTCTAGCTTTTGATAACTCTACTTCACTGCTCTAGCTTTTGATAACTCTACTTCACTGCTCTAGCTTTTGATAACTCTACTTCACTGCTCTAGCTTTTGATAACTCTACTTCACTGCTCTAGCTTTTGATAACTCTACTTCACTGCTCTAGCTTTTGATAACTCTACTTCACTGCTCTAGCTTTTGATAACTCTACTTCACTGCTCTAGCTTTTGATAACTCTACTTCACTGCTCTAGCTTTTGATAACTCTACTTCACTGCTCTAGCTTTTGATAACTCTACTTCACTGCTCTATCTTTTGATAACTCTACCTCACTGCCCTAGCTTTTGATAATTCTACTTCACATAAAAGTCATGGACAAATATTCAAGATTTGTATTTCAGTAGTCTATGTTCTCTTGCAGACTATGTTCACCAAAAAAAGACTCAACAACAAGAGACAAGGGCACCGAATGCTACTAGACGTTATGGTGATGGTGGTGGCGACCGTGGTTCAAGCGAGGATAGTTGGGATAATGCATTTACTAAAATCCAACAACCAGTGTCTCAAGTACAATCTTTACAATCACAAGTACAGTCTTCAAGTACTTTATCTTCAGCAGAGTCAACTTCATTGTCATCATCAACCATTACTCACACAAATGAATCTAAACCATCAATGAACTTGTCAAATGATAAACCTTCAAGTAAAAGTGTCATTGAGAATCCATCAAAATTGTCTAAACCATCTTCAAGTATGCAAAAGAATGACATACCAAGAGATTTTCCCAGTGATACAACCAGTGGTAATCGGGCTGATAACTTGAAGGACATCACAGAGAAAATGAAGGAGGTAAAAATTACTACAACAGATTCTAAGGTATCTGAGATGCTTGGATCTGGTAACACTGACTCCCCTGCGCCGTTAGTTTCAATGGTGGACACATCTGTTGAACATTCGGGTAAAACTGCAGAAATAAGGATGACATTACAAGAAGTTGCTCCAGGTAGGTAATGTGGAAACTTGGGATAATACAACTTATTGATCTAACTTTATTAATCCTTTGGGTGTCATTGTTTTTCCAGTCAAGCTAAATCATTTTTATGCATTTCTCTATAACCTGTCGGGTGAGTTGACACCAAATGAACCTAATTTTTTCGTGAAAATTTTGTTAAAAGTTGAAAGAATTAATATGGTTAATTCAAATATTTTATGTATTAATGAAAAATTAACATATGCATATGCATATGTTGTATGCAAATTGACCTGCTATGTTTTACTTTTGCTACCATAAAAAATGTTTAAATACAAGCCATTTGTGAAATTATTCCAAAGATGCCTGGAAAGACGAGCAATCCTTACTTGGTCTTTCCAGGAAAATGTTTAAGGAATTTATGTCAATTAAGTACCTACATGTATTCTAAACCTACAGATAAAGAACTCTCCTATACTGATCTATCGCATATGACAGATGGCTTTAACATAAGTAAACAGGAGGATGGCGGTAACTTCATCGGAGAAGGGGCTTTCGGTATTGTATTCTTAGGTAATGCAAGTAATGGTAACAAGTTAGCAATCAAGAAACTGAAAGTGGTAAGGATATTTCATTAATTATTCCACATCACACACTCGCATTGTATCGTGATTGGTCAATACCATGTCACATGGTGTTCTCTATTGAACCATAATGGAAGTAGGCATTTAGTATCCAGTGGAGTCTATCATGTTAACTAGTGTGTGACAATGATTTCATCCATCATGTGACAGTGTGATTTGAGTATTACAATTTACACAATTTACTCTGTAAAAATGTATGTGAATAAGAAAGATTTTGGGGATGAGTTGACATTTTAGGACATACATGTACACATACCGGTACAAACTAAAAAATAAAGTAGTAACAATAACAATGATTCTGCTCCCTGACAATACTTCTCACATGATTACAATAATTCTGGTCAATGATACCATACTTGACAGCGTTAGCGACCAGTGTTCTCAACTCAGAAAATCATGATTTTTTGGAGGTGGGCGCTTACCTGAGCACCCCTATCAGAAAAGAGTGCAAATGACAATTGTGACAGATTGAGGGGGATATTACGACTTTGGGGGGAAATAACATTACGAAATTAGTTGCGTCATCATTGATTTTTACGATAAAGAAGCAATGAAGAAATGGTCACAAAAAATATGCACATTTTATTACAATATCAATTACATACCACCCGAATTTACAAGGTTAAAAATATTAGAGTCTGTTGGAACACAGTCAAGGTCAAAATCTTCATCATTATCTGTATTGTCGAATATGTATGATTGTACCCAAACTCTCGATGAAAAGCACTTTCCACCATGATGTTTTCTTGCACTATTTGACCTGCAACAATGTCCGTTATTAACCAATCAGCATGCTATGTTGTACTGATGCAATTCTACGGAAATTCCCAAAGACTTTTTGGTAATGCAATGTAGAAGTGAATTATCGATGTTGCAGTATGATCTGTTGGAATTGATTAATAAACGAATAAACGGCATGATTTTTTTCAAAAACTAGTAACTACATGTAGCAATTTTTGATAGGTAAACTGAATATGGCATGAAGTAATTACCGCATTTCACATTCATTAACAGGTCATTGTTGAGGCATAGTTTATGCACAATTACTGTGGTCTACGCATTAACAACAGATTCACAGCGGTCGATATCCACGCTGTATCATGTAAAAACGATTACCAGTATTTGGAAAAATTAAAAATTGATCAAAGACCCAGTTTTATGATTAAACAGTCAAATGAGAGGCATTTTGAAGAGAACGGGTGCTTAGCGAATGTGAACCTGAAAATACAAATGTCCTGAGGGGGGGGGGGGTGCTTAGCCGAGCACGGGCACTAACGTGGTAAAGTATGGTAATACCAAGATCCCTCATGCTTACTGACATTTTGTAAATCCTGAGCGCCTAATATTTAGAAGAAATCCAAAATCATTTCTTTTCAATGTAATTGTTAAACCAACTAACAATACTCTTAATATCTGTAACTGAATTTAATGGCTAGTACCCTCATGGTCATTACAATATATGTATACCAGATACCCTCTATAGAGTTGAAGTTATATTTTCAGAAATGTGTTCAATTTGATAAATTAAACCCTTTAAACACCAAACTATTGTAAACTTTCACAAGGTAAAATCTACATTTTCTCTTCATATTTTCCCCAAGAGTCCGTCCAATAGAAGTATATTTTCGTAACAGTATTTATATTATTTGTTTTGTTTTCTTTAGGGTGACACCCCTCTTTTGTCAAGGATCACTGAACAGTTTAAAAATGAAATTAAGACACTTTTCAGGTATGTTCATTATTCCTGCTAAGGGTGGTGGTTGTCATGACGACCATGCAGTACCATATGAGTCTCTTTTATGTATAGCCGTATATACCTATGTGGCTCAAACATGTTCTATATTTCTACAACATTCAAACACGTGCTGCTCTGTCAACCAGTTTATGATAATATTTTTTGCTCCACAGAACTGTTCGTATAAATGATTATCTGTTGTCCGACGTCAAATTTTTCAAATAATTGCTTCTTGAAAACCGTTAACTCTTGCTTTAATTTGTACTTGGTACATAAGTTCCTTGGGTGGGCCGCTATAGGATTTGTTCATTTTGTGATGGTATCTTCAATTCTCTATTTTTAATGAATATTTTTGTAATTTTTAGTCAAAAGTAGTTCAAGATGGCTGAATGCGGGCATTTTTGTGCTAAAAATCATCAAAATCAAGCATTTTTCGGCTGTTTACAGATGAATTTTATTCAAAATTGGTATATATGTTAGACATCATAGGACCTTGATGCACATCATTTTGTTTTTCAGATAAGATTCAAAATGGCCGACTGGTGGCCATTTTGTTTTAATGATTGGGCTTCTAGTGCCATATCTCTGACTTGCTTTGACTGATTATGTTCAAATTTTAAATATTCATTATAGATCATGTCATAGATATACAGATGTATTGGTTTGACGATTCTTTTAAAAATGGCCGAATGGTGGCCATTTTTGTGCTAAAAAAATCATCAAAATCAAGCATTTCTCGGCTGTTTACAGATGGATTTTGTTCAAACCTTGTATATACGTTGGACATTGTGGGACATTGATGGAAATAATTTTGTTTTTCAGATTAGATTCAAAATGGCCGACTGGTGGCCATTTTGTTTTAATGAATGTTGTTCTCGTGCCATATGTCTGACTTGCTTTCACTGATTATGTTAAAATTTTAAATATTCATTTTACATCATGTCATAGATAGACAGATATATTGGTTTGACAATCCTATTCAAAATGGCCAATGTTAGTCATTTTTGTGCTAAAAAAATCCTCAAATATCAAGCATTTCTTGCATTTATGGATGGATTTTGTTCAAACTTATAACATACATTAGACATTACAGGTTCCTAATGCACGTCATTTTATTTTTCAGATTGGATTCAAACTGGCTGACTGGCAGCCATTTTGTTTTAATGATTGGGCTTCTAGAGCCATATCTCTTAAATGCTTTGACTGAATATATTCAAATTTTATATATTCGTTATACATCATGTTATGTAATATATATACATGTATTCAAAATGGCTGATTTTGAATGCTGTTCCAGAGCAATATCTCTCAATATGGACAAGTACTTGTTTGACGATCAGATACAAATCATATTCCTGACATGGTTATATTCCAGCTATATTACTATAAACAAAACTATATATCTTAAATTCGATAACTAACGGGGACTGTGCCAAGCATGGCTTGTTTGATTTTGTCTCATTTATTGACAAGACTCTCATGGTCACCTACGTGGCATTCGTAATTGCGTCAGACTCAAGTCAGAATATAAAGCTATCAGTTTCATGTGTTTTTTCTTTCTTCAATGCATGTAAAAATCATTGTGGTAACTGAAACTGACCTCATTCCAGACTTTTAATTTGATTTGTATGTTATCAACATAATGAAAAAAAAAAAATAGTACTGGTAATTATTATGTTCTATGAATGTCGCTATTTTTTCTTCTTCAGGTGCAAACATGTCAATCTTGTTCCATTGCTTGGATATTCATGTGATTGTAATCATTTGTGTCTGGTGTACGAGTACATGTGTAATGGTTCATTGCAAGATAGACTAATGTGTAATGGCAATACACCTCCACTGAGCTGGACGACTAGAGTCTCTATATCCAAAGATGTTGCCAAGGGAATAACATATCTCCATTCCGAAAATCTCATTCATAGAGATATTAAAAGGTAAGTCTTGAAAAGGCATAGTTTGTATGAACAATATTTGATATAAATGAAACTTTGCGAATGAATGAATCTCAGCCAGTGGAATTGGCCTTCCCATAGAATCCATGACAAACTCATCCAGGGTAGCGGTTGATCATTTTCGATGTTCAACCTAAGGTAGGATTTGAGCATTGGTCTACCGATCATGAGTCTGATGCAACAACCACTATGCTACAAGTAAAAATTATTGGTCTGGAATTAACCTCATATCTGGTCTTAGTTCTTAGCTGAAATCTTTGTATAATAACGTATAATTTTCCTTTATAGTGCAGATAATTTGTTACTTCAGGAGAAGATAATTTTGAATATTGTTGCATATTATTGTAGCATCTGTTATTAATCTAAAAAATCTGGTGTTCTTATGTCTGTTGTATCTTTGACATTACTATTCATTTCTTGTACTTTTATTCATTGAGTTAGGGTTACATAATCACATGTCATGACAATGACCTTATTAGCTGATCACATTACGCCATGTATGTTGTCATGAGCTGATCACGTGTTCTGCTATAAAAAGTGGCACTTCACGGTTTACCTACAACCAGATAACTTGTGTGTGTCTCACT